GGTTGGTAAGTTGGAAGAGTCTGGCAGCAGCATTCATGATGGATTGAAGAGGGGATAGCCTATGTAGAGGTAAGCCAATTAGGAAGAAGGTGCAGCAGTCGAGAAGAGAGATGACCAAGGATTGATTTAGAAACTTTGTGTAGCCTTTGGTTAGGAAGCTGAAAATTTTGGAGCTGTTGCATAGGTTGAGGTGGAAAGCTTTGGACAGTGATAGGATGTTGGGCCGAAAGGATAGTTCAGAGTGCAGGATAACATCTAGCACGAGTTGATAGTTGTGCCATCAATCAAGTCATAGGAAAAGGCATGCAGGGGAGGAAATATTATAAACTTGGTTTTGGATAGACTGAGTCTGAGGAAGTGGTGTGACATCCAGGCTGATATTATCGGTTAGTAAATTAGTGAGGCATGTGGAGACTGATGGAGTAAGCTATGAGGTTGGAGAGATAGATTTGGGTGTCATCATCATAGAAATGGTACTGGAAGGAGGCTATCAACTGACCCAGAGAGGAAGTGTAGATCGAGAAGAGTACAGTCACACAGACCAAAGGAGAGGAGGTTTTTTTTCCACAGAGTGGTCCACTCTGTCAAAGGCAGCAGAGAGGTCCAGGAGTAGAACTACAGAATGCGGTCTATTGGTTTTAGTTGTTAGTAGATCATTTGTGAATTTTAGAGGAGCAATTTTTGTGGAATGTTGAGGGCGAAATGCAGACTGAAGAGGATCAAGAAGGTTATTTTCAGTGAGATGGTCACTCAGTCAGTTGTAGAGTAAATGCTCAAGGAGTTTGGAGAAAAAAAGGGAGCAAGGAGATGGGGCATAGGTTAAGATTGGTGGGGTCCAATGCAGGCTTTTTAGATATGGAGGTGACTAGTGCATGATTTAGAGTTGGGGAAGATGCCAGAAGAGAGGAAGGGATTGAAGATGTGAGTTAGAGAGCGTACAATAGATCCAGAGGGTGACCGTAGCAATTGTGAGGGAACAGGGTCCAGAGGGCAGGTGGTTAACTGGGCATTAGAAAAAAAGTTTAGCAACCTCTTCTATAGTAGCAGGGTTGAATAAGGGGAAATAATGAGTATATCTGTGGACAATGTGATAACAATTTTATACTTTATGGGTTTAATGACATTTTAAACCTTGTATTGGGGGGTGCCCAGTGCAAGAGTAGATTCCATTTATTTCCTGGACCTGGGCTTTAAAAAAGTGATGCACTGATATAACCGCTGAAAATTATCAGCCAAAAATAGGGTTATCTGTGTTTTGCCGACAGGAAAAAAAGAAAAAGAAAAAAAAAAAGCTGCTGATAATTGACTTTATTGCAAAATCGTGTCCCACTGACTTCAATGCAAAATCACGTCCCATTGACTTGAATGCAAAACCACCTCTATTTAAGTTTTTTAATTTTATATATATTTCATTCTATTTTCTGTCCAATTTTTGTGGGTTACTTTCAAAAGATATTTTACATTACTGGATTGTATTTTTTAAATTCATATTCATTTAGATTCATGATATTAATCAGTCGAATACAATTATCTATAAAAAAATATCATATTTAAAAACACTGTCCATTTTGGTTTCAGTTTTCGGCATCCTGAATTTCCGGTTTCAGTCCAGAATTTTAATTTCAATGCACCACTAACTAAAATAATAGTTGAAATTGCAATATTTAATTCCATTAAAAAAAACAACCCCCAAACAATTTAGCTGCAAAATTATTTAGGAAGTGTAACATATTGATTGAAGAACAATTGAGGACACATTTACTATTAGGCCTCTTTCGCGCAACTGTTCAGCTGCATTCACTGGATTCCAGTGGCAAGCATCAGTATTGATAAAGTGTTAACAGGTTGACAGCAGTTGTTGCCATCCTCATGAAGCGGCACACTAAGTGGTTACCTGTGGCTAGGGACAGATGTCCAAGCCTGGACAGAGTCAGATGCATCCAAGCTTGGACATCCATCCTAACCTTAGGTAACCACTTAGCGTGTGGCTACATGAAAACAGTGAGAGCCGCTATCAACCTGTCAATAGATTGTACATGCTGAGCAGCTGCCGCTATTCACATGCACCTGTCACTCCTGCAGCAAGAATCTACAGATTCTTGCAGCTGTAAACTGGTATGCGGTTAAATGGGTGTGTGCAAAGGCGATCTTATTTTTTGTCATACGTAAACCACCGGTGGACCACAGAGAAGAAGCAAGAGGGTTATGTGAGGCTCAAAAAAACCCACGAGTTTGACATACCTGCTGTAAGGCATAAGATGATGGTGCAGATATGGGGCCCAAAGGTGTTAAAAATATTCTGCAGAATAAAAAAAAAATACAAAAAAAAACCCCACACACTGTGTACTGCAGAGGAAAGTGCAAGCTATGCAACTAAAATATTCAGCAATTTAGGCATCAAAAAATGGCTGTGTACGTTCATACACAAGCAGAGAGTTTCAGCCAGAGTACAGCGTGATATACTAGGAAAGTGACAAAGCAGTTTAGAACTGGCCACAAAAAAAAAAAAACCCCAAGCACAAACCTGGAGACACATTTCAATATGCAAACATTGTGTTCCTGCTATCATCACTAAAGGCAGGGAATCTGATCACCAAGAGACCAGCCAACACAAACAAACCTTGTCACAGACAAATCATGTGACTGTATTCTCCATTAAAAAGTAAGCATCTTAAAGACACGGTGATTTTGGCCTCAAAAGTGACCTGTTGCTAGGAAAAGTTCTCTACAATAGTAATAAGAACAGGCAAAGCAAAAGCAATGTGTGTTTAAAAAAGGATCCTGAATTCAACACCAATATCTGACAAATACCGTAGGTTGATTTTGTGTTGTGCTACAACAGTCATTCATCACTAATACAAACAAATAATATTAATTAAAGCAATACTGTAAAAACCAAGGGCAATGCAAACCAAGCTAAATACATAAGATTAACCTCAGTGTTAATCACATGTCAAAACAAAAGATAGCAAAATATAGACAGCTGCTGTCAAATGAAAATCTTACATTTTCCTCTAAAAGCTGTGCTTGGCTCCACCAAGTCAACTATTGGTCCATGAGGAAAGACTGTACTAGAACCAGGCAGCATGGCAATAGGGCAAAGAGAGTTAATATTTAAAATTCTTTTTACAAAATAATATTCAGTAAATCACTAAAAACTATACTGCTTATTTTTCATCTTAATCCTTACTATTTTATATCATCGAATCTGCAGGGAATTTGTGCCTGAGACCACCAGTAGATACAGGCTGCAAATACCTAAGTGTAGACAAACAGCTGGAGCCTACCTTGTATGTTTTTTAGCTTTGTGTTTTTAATGGTGCATTTTTTGCAGGTGAAAAACACACATCTGTTATGCTGCACTTGGGGTACCATTAACAATAAATGCAAGTGTGAGATGCTTTTTTTGCTCTGCATTTCGCAATCGTGTGCAAAATGAACTGATTTTACGCAGTCCAGAAATGCTATAGCATGAATGCAGCCTTAGACCTCGCGTAATAGGGAAAGCAGCAGGCTCACTCTTGTCGGTGATTATACCCAATGTAGTCACCAACCTACATTCAGATTTAAAACTTTAATAGAATTCTTAACACCTAACTTTCCAACACATTTCAGGCACTTTCAAACACAAATGTATATGCAAGAACGTTCCTTATGTTTTGTACCTTAAAATAGGCAAACCATTTAATACACAGTTGAAGTTTACTGTACATTTACTGTTTGCCTGCCAAACAGTAAATGTACAGTATTCTGACACACACACAGCATAGCCAGGCAGGCAAGCGACAATTATTTCCTAGCTCTGCAAGCTTCCCATGTCTCTGCCTCCAGACTGCTCATTGGACAATTAATCCGCATTGTCATCCCTTAGGCATGGAAATGATCCAACAAACAGCAAAGATGAACCAGGGCAGAATAAAACTTAGGCCCGGTTCACACTACAGAAACGCAGTCGTGATTTGTTCCGGATGCGTTTCTGCATGCCCGTTTTTTGATGCATTCCAATGCGGTTTTTTGTGCATTCCAGTTTATCCCCCTCCTCTTTTTCTTCAATTTAAATAGGGACATGTGCGTTTCAGTGCGTTTTTGATGCATTTTACCACGTTCCAGTACAGTTCTGTGCAGAAAAAAATGCAGCATGTTCTACTTTTTTTTCTGCAACTGGAACACACTGGAACTGCAAGCACTGATGTGAACTATGACATTGACAATCATATAACCTACTTTCTGTGTGTTTTGGATACAGAAAAAAAGCAACTGAAACGCATGTAGTGTGAACTGACCCTAAAACCAGAAGTAATTAAAGCTGAACTTCACCTAAAAAAAGGACGTTCTTTATTTCCTACATCCACACCCTCCACCACCACCACTGTTGGATGTGTTTTTTTCTGGAAACGGGTACCTATTTCTAAAAGGTGCCCGCTCCCATTTCTACTTCGTTGGGGAGTGAAAGTTCACATTAACTTTTTTCCTCCAGGACACATCCCAGAAGGCTGCAGGTCCATTTAGAAAGTGCAGCACTACTCACGTATGCATAGTTTGACTGTGAAGCTGCAGGAAGTCACAGCTGGTTTCCCCAAAGCATGATGCCGGCACTGAAGACCCAAAGACCAGCGAAGAACAAGCCCAGGTAATGGGAGCGTTGGATCCCCGGACTGGTTAGTGTGTTTATTAACCACCTTCCGCCCACCCTATAGTACGACGGGCGCAAGGTGGTTCTCTCGTTCTGATAGGACGTCATATGACGTCCTACCATTCTCACTGCGCATGCGCAGCTCAGGGAACACGCAGCGCGGCGATCGCCGGTCCGCTGTGTCACGGAAAGAGCCGAAGATGTCGGCTCGATCATATGATCAGCTGTGTCCAATCACAGCTGATCACATGTAAACACGGAAATGACGGTTATCGGCATTTCTCTCCTCTCGAGCTGTCACGCTGACAGCTCGAGAGGAGAGGAGAGCCTGTAATCGGCTTTCCGCGGAGGGGACATGTACACTGATCATCAGGGCACTGATGATCAGTGTGGCCCCAGAAGTGCCACCTGTCAGTGCTCAATGCCACATATCAATGCCCATCAGTGCATACCAATATCACATCAATGCACATCAATTCCACATATCAGTGCCCATCTGAGCTGCCTTTCAATGTCACCCATCAGTGCCACGTATCAATGCCAATCAGTGCCACCTATCAGTGCTGCCAATCAGTGCCACCTATCAGTGCCAGTCAGTGCCATGCCTATCAGTGCCAGTCAGTGCCATCTATCAGTGCCTGTCAGTGCCGCCTATCAGTGCCAGTCAGTGCCACCTATATGTGTCCATCAGTGCAGCCTATCAGTGCCCATCACTGCAGCCTCATTAGCGCACATCAGTGAAGGAGAAAAATCACTTATTTACAAAATTGTATAACAAAAACTAAGGAAAAACTTTTTTTTTTCAAAAATTTTCAGTGGTTTTTGGTTTGTTTAAGAAAAAATAAAAATCCCGGAGGTGAATTAATACCACCAAAAGAAAGCTCTATCTGTCTCAAAAAAATGATAAAAATTTCATATGGGTACAATGTTGCATGACCGCGCAATTGTCATTCAAAGTGTGACAGCGCTGAAAGCTGGAAATTGGCCTGGACAGGAGGGGGGTATAAGTGCCCTGTAGGCTAAATGTCAGCAGCTACAGTATTTTTAGCTGCTGACTTTTAATTTTTGTATAAAACAGCAAATCTCTCTTTAAGCAATATTCCCAGATATGCCAGAGATGTGTGAACCAGAATACAATATTAAAAAATCCGTTAGCAAGTAAAACATTCACACGTTTCAACTGTGTTAACAGCGATTTGCCCAAAATGATACTTTAATGTTCAATATAAAAATTGTTCAAACTCAGACAAAGTTCATTCAAAACAAAAAGAAAGATACCAACACATACAGACAGCATCCATTAGCAGCTGAAAGTAAATGTAAAGTATTTAGAAGCAACATAATCTAGAAGTCTAGTTACCCACCAAACACTTAAACTAAATGCAGACATACACATATAAGGCAGATATACATAAAAAGAAGTACAGCCAGCAAATTTATAAGCATGCACAACAGTGATTATGATCTTGTATCCCAGAAGTGTAAATAATTTCGAGTCTTGCAATAAGACAAATCTAATAAACAATGATGACAAAGAGTTGTGAAAATACAATGTTATAGACACTTTCTAATACAGTTATAACTATGTAAGGTATTAAAACTGTTTTGCCTGTGATTGGGAGGGGGGGCATGGTGACTGAACAAACTACCCAATACAGGCATGCTGTGTGTCTGCACAGTGTTCTGTACCTCTTAATGGCCAGACAAACAATAAAAACTTCTGACGATGCAAGCACAGATCAGTTTCTGTGCTTTATGTGGTCAGTATGGAAGGAAAAAAATGTGACTGGCAGGATTAACCAGGTACTTCAGATGGAAGATAGAGACTATGATTTACAAAATACACAAAAGTGAACATTCACATAATTTAGGGTAACAAACACTTTAGGGCCCCTTTCACAAGAAGCAGGTACACAGCAGGCAGATGACACATCTGTATCTGTTCAGTTTCTGCAGAGAAGACATGGTCAGAGCCTCCTCTGCTCTATGGGTGGCCAGAAGTAAATAGACTCTGCAGTCCTCCACTCCGCTCTGACTAAACAGAAAAGGACATAGTCCTCTCCCATTATTTTTTTTTATTTTATTTTTTTGTAGCAGACCCAAAAGGTAGGCAGGTGTAAATGGACACAAGTCCGTATACACTCCACGGTCCATAGGGATGAATGGACCTTCCAATCTTTCCGCCTGAAAAACTGACAGGTGGAACAGATTGGAATGCCCCTCTAAAATGAAGTCTGAACTTCAGGATTAAAAAGAATACAACTCCGGTGCTCTGGGATGTGGGTAAGCCCTCACCATCCTCACATACAATACAGAACTATTGGTCATGAAATGTACTTGATGACATCAGCACACGGCCGCTGCCTAGAATGCTATTAAGAAGAGGCTTGGGCGACCAGTCGCACACCTTACCCTCCAGCTCTTAACAAGCCTATAACCCTTGCAGTGCAGGAAAGTCCCACTACATCCTTTTTTTCTGGTGCCTGGGCTGGTGCTTTAAAAGGAAACCTATGCTGTTGCAAGGGGGGAATAAAAAAGAAAAAAAAAAAAAAAACAGCCCAATACTTATGATCTCAAGGATTACAGTAAAGAACTGTCATACTGACTCCATTATAAAAAATGTTCTTTTGTTCCACCTCTTGATTGTATTTTGAAAAGTGCACCCAAATATATTTTCATACATCACTGTTCTATGCATAGCTGTACAAATAGGCCCCCTAGTTATGAAGAGTGAAGAAAAGGGTTATAACCTCATTTTGGTTTTTACTGTCGCTTTCTCAGTGCTGCAACAGGAAGCAAGTCTCAAGGATGACAAAAACAGCAGAAAACTGCCAAAAAGTTCTTATCCTTCCATGCTCCACAAACAAACTGCTTTTATGAGCGTTTCTCATCATTTGAAAGGTTCTGTTCACATTCTGTCTTCGTGACAAACATTATAGGAACTGAAATAAATTGGAATGTACTTAGCTATGGAGGCTACTGTCCTGTCATATGCTTGCCATTTGCTAGTCTTTTACAAGATAAGATAAGCCAGCTGCCTGTTGGAAACACCCCCAAAATATTCTCACTTTACTCTCAAATACCCTTAGCTTAAGCCAAATTATAACGTATATTCGTTGGTCCTTCAATAATAACTCACAGTAAAACATGCATAAAAATAGCTTAAGTATCCAGGTTACCTGGTGTGAGAGAGCAGGCTTGCAGCTGTCTGATTACATGACTCAGCTCCCCTTGAAGATTGGCACCACCAGAGGCCTTTATGGCTTCCAACATGCTCTCCAAGTCTACCACCTCATCGCCTTCCGCATCAAACTGTGCAAATGCCTGAAAGAGAAGCCAGTGGTTAATCTCAGAGGGAAAAAATTAGAATATGAATCATGCAGAGCTATACCTACTCCATTACTTTGCAGATGTCAGTGTAATATTAGGAAAATCTTTTCAGTAAAAAAAAAAACGCAAAGGTCTTGAAATCCACTCTGTTGGTGATACAGCCTATCCACTGTATCTTTGTCTTTTTTGTTTTCTTTCTTTTTTACTAACAAATATGATGCAGGAATGTGAACTGGAGAAATAGTTTTTAGATAGTTCTGCCTGTTGAAGTGGTGAAAAAAGTAGGCCACATCCTTTGTTAACTTTATGACAAATCAGTGTTTTAATTCTGCTGCATTCCACTTGCAACAAAATGTGTGAAAATGGGCCAACAGTCATAGAACATCAAATGGAAAACCTTCAGCTACAAATGGTACAATATAAAACTATGAATCATTTGCGCATTATTAGTATTATATAGGATTTATATAGTGCCAACAGTTAGCTCTATATAAATATGACATATTAACACATGGGGTCTATTTATAAAGAAATTTGTTGGACAAATGTGAAAAGCATTCGCCCGCCCTTTTCGAATTATAAATGTATTCTTCTAATACAGTGATTTCCTAATTTTCCTCAGCCAATCTAGTGGCCATAATGCAATTTTTCTTGAGATACCTCAGCCAGAAATAAAATAGGACATTGTGGCCACTAGATGAAGCTTATGGTCATATGAAATCGCTGTATTAGTGAAAAAAAAAATATGAATGCCTGTCACATTTGTTAAAATTTTTGTTTTAACAGACCTCTAAGTGTGACATTTGAAAATGAGCAACTGCAAAAGAGCAAGTGACAAAAAAATTACATTAGCAGACGTTACCTTCAGTATAAGCTGAATACCTAAATGATGAGTGCATCAAGAAGTGAAGGCTGAATTCACACTTGTCTGCTCTTTGGCTTGTGTGTTTTTCATTGAAATGACCAGAAACACAAGAAATACTTCATTGTTAAGGGGCGTTACAACGGATTATACATTGTACGTCAAACATACATCAACTTTTCTTACTCTGACGTGCGCTAAATGGTACATTTCCATTTATTTCAATAGACATATATGTGTGCCGATTTTAATAGAATGCATGTGTGTTAAAATGGACAAGTATGAATGTAACCTAGAAAATGTAGTTAAATGGATATGCTAATCTTGGTGCTGAGGGGTTGATTTACTAAAACTGGAGAGTGCAAAATCTGGTACAGCTGTGCATGGTAAGCCAAATATCCTGGCCACACACTTTACAACCTTGTGGAAAGTTTTGGTATATTCTGACAGCTTTTAGGCTGCATTCACACATGGGCGTTTTGATATGTGGGTCGAATCGCAGGTAAAATGAAAAATCACAGCACCACTTGTTGAGGTGCCATTCTTTTTAAACACACCTAAAAGCACAGTGCGGTTCTGCCATGACTGTTGGGCAAAAAACCGCATCACACGAAATGTGTCACCCAAAAGAAGTGCCTAAACTTCTCTTGGGTAACATGATTTGCATGATGCGGATTGCAGAGCGACAGTACCGCACCTGAACACGCAGATCCAAGATTTGTCATTTTAGCAGACGGTTCTGAAATTGCAGGCAGAATCGCGGCGATTCTACCCGCAGATCAAAACACCCATGTGTGAATGCAGCCTTACTGATGATCTGCTACCTATATTTTGTTTTGTAAAACCAGTCATTTGAAACTATAGAACAGATAAAACTGCTGATGGCCAACTGCACTTTAAAGCCAATAAAAGACATTAAAAAAAATTGCCGATAAATTTGCCAAGGCCTTGGATTGGCCTTAACCGCCTCCCGCCCACCATATAGTCCAATGACGGCCTCAAGGCGGTTTTTCTCGTTCTGGGAGGACGTCATATGACGACCTCCCATTCTAACCGCGCATGCGCGGCTCCCGAAGCGCTCAGCGTGGCGATCGGCGGTGCGCTGTGTCCCTCGGATACAGCGGATCACCGATCCACGGAAAGAGCCGAAGATGTTGGCTCGGTTATGTGATCAGCTGTGTCCAATCACAGCTGATCACATGTAAACAGGGAAATGCCGGTTATTGGCATTTCTCTCCCCACGAGCTGTCACGCTGACAGCTTGAGAGGAGAGACAATAATCAGCTTTCCGCGGAGGGGACATGTACACAGATCATTAGAGCACTGATGATCAGTGTGCCCTGATGATCTGTGTAGCTCCAGCAGCGCCACCTGTCAGTGTCCATCAGTGCCAGCTCTCAGTGCTCATCCATGCCACCTGCCAGTGCCCATCAGTGCCACATTTCAGTGCCCATCTGAGCTGCCTTTCAGTGTCACCCATCAGTGCCAGTCAGTGCCGCCTATCAGTGCCAGTCAGTGCCGCCTATCAGTGTGCACCAGTGCGCATCAGTGCCGCCTATCGGTGCCCGTCAGTGCTTCCTATCAGTGCCACCTAACAGTGCCAGTCAGTGCCACCTAACAGTGCCAGTCAGTGCCACCTAACAGTGCCAGTCAGTGCCACCTAACAGTGCCAGTCAGTGCCGCCTAACAGTGCCATATATGAGTGCTGCCTTTCAGTGCCCATCAGTGATGCCTGTCAATACCCATGAGTGCCACCTACCAGTGCCTCCTCATCAGTGCCCATCAGTGCCACCTATCAGTGTCCATCAGTGCAGCCTATCAGTGTCCATCAGTGCAGCCTCATTAGCACACATCAGTGAAGAAGAAAAATCACTTTTTTACAAAATTTTATAACAAAAACTAAGAAAAAACTTTTTTTTTCAAACTTTTCAGTGGTTTTTGGTTTAAGAAAAAATAAAAAGCCCAGAGGTGATTAAATACCACCAAAATAAAGCTCTATCTGTCACAAAAAAATTTTTTTAAAAATTTCATACGGGTACAGTGTTGCATGACCGCGCAATTGTCATTCAAAGTGCAACAGCGCTGAAAGCTGGAAATTGGCCTGGGCAGGAAGGGGGTATAAGTGCCCTGTATGCAAGCGGTTAAAGTAGTTGTAAAGGTTTAAGGTTTTTATCTTCATGCAGTCTATGAAGGTAAAAAACATTCTGTGTGCAGCAGCCACTTAAGCAAATACTTAAATGGGCCCAAGAGCAGTGGCTCTCTAGGGACTCTTCCTCCTCATTGGCTGAGAGAGCAGCAGGAGCCATTGGCTCCCACTACTGTCAATCACAGCTAATGACCTAGTAAGAGCAGGGGCGGGGCCGAGCTGCGCTGGTGTGTGCAGTGGCTCAGAAGCCACCACAGCAAGCAGCTTGCTATGTGGGCAGCCACTCAGGCTCACTCCCGGCACTCAGCAGAGGAAGGGGCCAGGACTGCCAGAAGGGCACTCTAATAGAGGAGGGTCGGGTCTGCTCTGTGCAAAACCACTGCACAGAGCAGGTAAGTATGATGTTTGTTTTTTTTCTTTTTAAATATCCCTTTAATATAATTTTAATGATTTCCAATTCCATCTCTGGTTTAATGTCTATAAGATGATAAAAAAAAGAAAAAAGCAAGAAATATTTACACTTTGGTTCTAAAAGGAAGCTACGGTAAGGAATGAATGGCCAGCTACAGGATGTTTTGGCAACACTGTTTATTTTCTTACAGTGCCTAAGACTATTAATTTTGAACATAAAACAAAAACCATAAAAATAAATATAGAACGCAGCTGTGAATAATAATGATCAATATTCAAAAAGAAAAACAAAGCTCCAACGAAAAGATGCATTACACATCAAGTTCTTGGGATTGCTCTCTCCAAAGAATGGTACAGTATTGATGTTGTGTGGAAAAAAAAGCTCAGCAGTTCTCTGGAGCTGCCCGCTACTGTCAAATCTCAGCAACATATGTCAAGAATGTAAAACTAAATAGGAAACGACAAAACACTGACTGGAAATGAGTCAACAGTTTCATGACCTGTCCTGAAAACAGACTGCCAAATCAATCCCAAACATACATTGTTAATACGATATTGGCCCCCATTTACACTACAGTGTTCTTCTGTTCATTACCCATTATTTCACATGGCTGGTTTGTGAGGCCGCCAAATTCCTGCAGCAAAAATCTGCAGATTCTCGCTGCTGGAATGATTGGGTTATGTGATTTGGAGTGGCCAATCTGCCCATTTAAACTAATGGTGGCCTGACAGCAACCATTGCTGAATGCATGTAACCACACACAGAGCGATAGGCTCCGGTTGTGGACAGATGTCCGAGCATGGACGCAGTCAGCTCCAGATCACATAACCCAGTCATTCCAGCAGCAAGAATCCGCAGTTTCTTGGGACAGGAATCTGAGGGCTGCAACAAACCAGCTGTGTGAAAGGGGACCAATTGTGACTGTTCACACTTATATACTTAGTTGTCCTACACTCTACACCAAACCATTATTTTTTAGCATATTCTGATGTTATTGACCCCACAGACTTCAAAGAGAATGCCTGTAAACATGTCATAAGGCAATTTCACACCTAAATTCCTTTCCGCCTATAGAACTGCCCTCCTCCTCTCAGCAAAGCAAATTTCTGAAGCTTGATACACATGCAAAAAAGAAAAAAAACTCCTGAATTATGGCCAAGAAACACCTGTAAAAAAAACGAGAAACACCTGTAATACGCCCGAGGGGAAAAAAAAAACTCTTCAAAATCACCAGGAATATGCTGTGCTACGGTGTGTTAAAATGTTTAGTTCTGTTGAACTCTGGAAGCTTAATGTAGTATACTAAGGCACACTATAAGGAGAAAGTCATCTATAAGGGCCCAGTCACGCCTTGGCTTATTACCTGTTATCATTAGTGGTGCACCGAAATGAAAATTCTGTGTCAAAAAAACAAAACCGACTCCTCTGAACCTTGGTCTGGGTGTCACACTGGGGATGACTCCCCTGGTGTGGGTGTCAGGATGGGAATGACTGGTTTTTGGGGCTCAGTGTGGATGAAACCTGGGAACAGCACACATACCCCGTATGGGGGTCCGGCTCCACTCCCCCTTCCAACCTCCCTCACTCACCAGTCAGTGTCCTGGCTGAGCAGTGCACTCTCCAACAGCACAGAACGACCTCCTCCTGCACCCTTGACTACCCTTCTCCTCACACCAAGGCGATCCCAAGGTCCAACCAGAGCCCACAGCCCGCTTCCAGTGAGTGCTATGATATTATGGAGGCTGCGCAGCATCCCCAGCCTGACCAAAAAGGAAAATAACAAAGAGGTCTAGACAGCCCTGACTGACAGCGGCCAGCTGCCAATCACTAGCAGATTCGAACGACCCCAGCCAATCAGATAGCGGGACGGCCAAGATAGCGTGGCTCAGGCTGCCTGGAAAGTCCAATCAGTGAGCAGCTGGCTGCTAACCATACACAATAAAGGCAGGCCCGAACACTAAGTTTGAAGGCGAGGCAGGGCTAACCCGGTAGCATCAGGTTTTCTATTTTCGGTGGCCATTATCAACACATTTTTTTCTATCGGCAAAACACCGGCAACCCTGTTTTCTTCAACAGTCGATATTATTGGTGCATCCCTAGTTATCACGCATTTCGTTAAGGAAGCCAATTCAAATTAGTGAGCTAGCAATGCACCAAAACATTAAAACAGCCAGGCACCATTCTTGGCCACATGTTACAATCTGATGGTAAACAAAGGATCAAAAAGAAGCTAAAGGACATACCTACAGAGAGATTATGCAAAAACCTATGTAGTACAAGGGCTTGCCTGCCTGGATACAAATGGAATTTACTATAAATGCATACCCTCACAGTACATAGGTTTGGTAACTCTAAAGAAGATTTTTCAGATTGTAACATTTCTGGCCAGTCTTTAGTGAACCAGACTGTGAATGTGTAATAATTCACTGCACTGGGCATGCCAGAAATAAAACAAGCAGAAGAGAGGATCACTTTATCTAGTGGGCACTTATACACAGCTCTATATATAGAAAAGATCACAGCACATCAAAAATGTAAAAGGTGGGAGAAGTAGTCTCACAATGGTATGTGGGGAACAAGATTCTGCATTGTACGATGCTTCCACTACTCACTTAGAGGAGCCCAACACAGACACTCGCATCTCCAACTCCCCCAGAAGACCTGGAAAACAGGAGCTGAAGAAATACTCTGAAGCAGAGGGATCCCTGGGGCAACCCAATCTGAAAAAAACTGTGCTCCTGAATACAATCTTAGATCGGCACCAAAATACAGATATCACATTGAATGGAAACATGAACAATCACTCAATTCACTCTGTCCAAAGGTGGTGATCATCCCACTGGGGGCATATCCCCAGCCATCTCCCAGGGTGCTCATTATACAGATTTTGCTCAGTTGTCTCCCCAGACACCAACTACTTGGTCTTTTAACCTGCTACTATAAATCCCCTCATATCATTACTGTGTACAGACTGGATTATTTGGGGGAATATGCTGCCCCCAATGGGGTACATTAGCATATGCATTATTCAGATTTTAAAGTGATTGTAAACATCAGACATATGAACAAAACATATGCTTCCATACTGTGTACTGGCCTCTATCCAACGCAGTGATTGTGATTTCTCTGTGCTGCCCAGTTCCTCTGCTATCTGCAGGAGTCATTTCTGACAGCTTTTTCAGACACCAAGAGATGAAGAGGTGGAGAAGAACTCCAGCATACAGCCTGTGATTCATATCCTTAGCTCTGGGTGTTCTTTGTGTACTATGTGAAGGGGAAGGGGTGTCCCTTCCCTCCACTCACAGCTCGGAGCTGTCCTCACTGAGATCTGCAGTGTGATTCCCCAGATAACCAAAACAACAATCTATAGGTTATGCTTTTGATCAAGTTAGATGCCCATCATTTAGGGTAGTGGTTTCCAAACTGCAGTCCTTTGCTTGCTTTTATCCAGTCCTTGGGGCATTTTTCCCCCCTCTGTCAGTAACCGGGGGCATAGTTCCTGCCACTGGCACCGATAATGGGGCTCTACTCCTCCCACTGACACCAATGGTGGCACACTATTCCTCCTACTAAAACCAACAATGGGACACTATTCCTCCCTTATACGTCCCCCTAAAAGAGAAACTCAAAGACACACTCATACTCCTCACTAACTCACACTTCTCAACCTTGATTCAGAAAGTCCATTAAGTGCGTGACGCAGTAAATCCATACAAAAGTATTCCATGCTGAAGGAGGACAGACTCCAAGAACTTGCACATATCTTATGCTACACATCTAAAGCTCAGCTGGCTTTACATTGGCAAATCTTTTATGAATATGGATGGACAGGTAGATCAGAGGGTAAATAATAAGTATATGCGAGCGCACATGAGA